CTATCTATGTGATATGTGGAGGAACATATATGACTTAATCTTGACATCTATCGTTGGTTATACACATGTATTATAACATATGATCTATGATAAGAGATAATGAAGACGTTTCTATTTGAGATGGAACTCCGGAATGTATATATTCCCTGGCACATAAATGCCTCTCCGCTGGATATTGGAAGAGTTCTGGATGAGATGTGATATGACTCTTTAAAAGATCCGTTGTACGTTGAAATAATGAGGTTTTGACCGATAGAGCTTAAAAGAAACCTCGTCATGATATATTGGGGTGAATTCATAAAATGTATATATTAAGGCCTCATATGCCTTAAAGTCCAAGGGTGATATGACTTGGGCAATATTTGGACCTGGTTTAACTTATGTCTGTATCCACCGTTGGTTTGGGTATGCTCTAATTGACACCGCGAAGCTTGATGCCTATGGGATTGAATTGAGACTCTCAGGAAACCATGTTTGAAGTACTGTGGCCCTCTTCTTGAAGTTTTGTCTTATTCGGAGGTTGGATAGCTCATTGAACATATAGCTTGAAGGTTGGAGCTTTAAAGCTCCATGTCTCGTATGTTCCAGACATAACAACATTCAACTACTAATATTGTAATGTCTCCCTTAATGTGACAAATTTTCCAAGAAATCAGGACCGTCGAATCCTCGGTTCAATCACCCTTAAAAGGTGTGGAAATGTCCTATACAAATGAAGAAAGCGTAATTAGCGGGATGAACAGAAAAGTGAACCAACGAGTATTGAAGGGAGCATATTCTAGTCTTTCTTATCAGACAACTCCACTGACTCGCAAGACTGCATATTTAAAATTCAAAAGAGTGATGGTTGGCTACATAAGATGAGTGTGAAAATCGAATTCGTGTATGGTTAATGGTTGACCACACATGATAAATACAAATTCAAGTTTATGCGTGATTGAGATTGAGCTCAAGAGATTTACTCATGGATTTAAACTTGAGTGAAGCCTTTGAGTTCGAATTCAAATCCACGAAATTTGCTCATTTGAACTAGAAGATCAGCTCACATATTCAAATTCATGTAGAAGATAAAGACAAAGTCAGGATCTGGTGTGAAGGTTAGGAAGAGGATAAGCTGAAAGAAAGACTAATGCGATCTTGCCAAGGAATATATTTTTTTTACCTTTCTTCTTTTCTCCCCTTTTCTTTTCTTTTTCTTTTCTTTTGGCAAAGATCACTTACAAGTGGTCTTATTACAATAACACATGCTTTAAAATAAAATCAATATAACAACAAAACTAAGATCTTAAAACTTGATGCCATTGAATAACTATGCACTATGCTTGAGAATATAAAGATAAGATTGCAAGTAATAAAGTGAAGAGTGTCGGAGATTATCTCAACCAGGCTTATTACACCCCACAATAAGTCACCATCATCCGATGCTGCGGGATCAATGATCAACCTTCAATCTTAATCGAGAAAGTAAGTTTAGGCCAAGCCACACCAATAGAACATGAATGCATTTGATTACAAACTCAAACCCTAGGTGATTTTTCTTAGCAACCTAGTTTGAAAGAGATGAATTCTCTTTTTGCTAAACCCTATAACCCTTAGCCATAAATCCATAGTTAAGAAATAGGAGAGAGACAAACTCCATAACTTAAACCCTTAGGTTCTTTCACAATGTGGGAGAGAGAGATCAAAGATAAGAGAGTGGGGCATGCCCCCTTTGACTTTCATGAGAGAGAAAAATTTTTCTTAAGAGAGAGAGAAAAACTTTTCTTAAGAGAGAGAGAGAGAAATTCTAAGTGGGGCATGCCCCTTTGTGGGATATGAGAGAGAAAGATGTGAATTAGGTACAAGAGATAAAGTGTCGAGATTTTTGGGTAGAGACAATCCTTTTTTATAGGCTTTGAACAAGATTAGGATTTCTTAGGGTTTTCCTTGGCTTGCCTCTTCTTGTGAGATTGAATATGAATCATTGATCGTGGGTGACTTGTGGGATGAGAGATTTGAGTCATCCATTCCATAGTTGGGCCATCAACATTATGGAAGGTGCATGAATCATTATCCTCCTTTCTTAAACCATTTTCCATCAATAGAAATTAAATAAATTAATTATAAACCAAATATTGCATACTATAAAATAGCACAAGTCTATTTAATTTTTCCACAAAATCTTTCAAATATATATCAAGTAAATATTTAGTCAATATCTTCCAACCATATGGCCACATGTCATATCACTACAAAAATAGGAAAGAGAATAAGGGTGGAGCGTGCCACCCAAGGGAAGCACTCATGGGGCCCCACCTTCTAGAAATATGGTGGGTCCATGTGCACAAGGGGCTTCCATGGTATTTTTATATTTTTAAAATTAATAAAAGAATTTTCGAATATTATTTGAATATTTAAATCATTGTAAAATCAACATCTTTAATTTTATAAATCCAAAAATTATAAATAAAATATCCAGTGGTTCATAAAAATTCAAATAATAATTTTAAAATAATTTATATCATAAAACAAACACAATTAAATTAATTTGATGGGAAAATGATCTATATGGTTTAGGAATTGAATCAACAATCATGGGGCACTAGACCTTCAATTGTAGACTACAGACCACACTTACTTTATAAGACCGACTCAGTGTTTCCCATGGTCTATAGTCTAAGCATGGACTCATTAGCGGGTCACCAAAGTCTAGTCGATGAGCCAAGAGCTTGCAATCCCAATCTATAGATTTCAGGTCCTCCCCTAGAGACGAGTCAATGTCACATCGACCTGATGCGACCATAGCTCTATGGCGCATAGCGGTATCTCGCACATGCATACGTCACCTTGAATGTGGCTTACTTGCTTTCCTGAATGATCTATCAATATGCATGTTATGTGATGACACATGGATGAGGCTTTGACCCCCGTCTTTGTAGGCTATCATCAGTCACACAGTCCCTCGGCTTACTCATTCGGGCATATGCTCCGACTTCATCAAGGGATGACCCATTAGCCCTTCTTGATTTGTTCTCTATGCCCATGTAATATGGGTTTTTCCAAATTGATTGGCCTAAATCTTCAAGCACTGTCCAGTATTTGCAAACATCGTTTGTATAGTATGGCCCCTCCCACTGAGTTCATGTTGTACTATATTATTTCATTTTACAAACACTCATAAGATCTTTAAATGCCACATAAACCCAACATAAGCATCATCAAGAAATCGACGATGGAGATGTAAAGATGATATTTGGTGGTTATCAAAGAGAAATTGAAGTTTATCACCTGATAATGATTATAAAACTGAGTGAGCAGATGAGAAAAGGGTTTGCATATTTTTCTTTGAGATGATGTATCTTTATTGCCACAGGTTGATCAAGTATGAATTGCAGTGTTGAGATAGACTGAGAAAAGAGAGAAAAGTCAAAGAGATTAATTCTGAGCTCTGAAATAACCATGTGATGCCCATTATCTAAAATAGACACGGATGTAGGATTAGCAACCTTGCCATAAATCAGGTATATGGGTTGATATCCCATTTGATGTTATCTCATTTTATATGTATGTACGTCTTGTTTTGTTAGAAACGACAGTATAGGTCTTAAGGTTATAATCAAGGGTAGTTGGCCTTATTTTTTTTTACTGCATTATTTGGCCAATATAAATTATAACAGGGGATTAAACTCCTGGAATTATTTTGTTCCCAATATATAATACAAAAAACCCGTGTTTCTATGATATGGAATATATGGGCTAATTTGGCCCGGAGTGTGATGTCCTCTGATAAAGCATTTAATTGGAGTCTCAACATGTTTTAAATTATATTGTCTCTTTAAAACATCAAATACCCCTTTCTTACGGCAATTCACATTTCGAAGCGTCCAGGTGATCAAAATTAATCTCGACCAATGGATGTGAAATTGGATGGTTGCATTTATTCTATTGACCAAGCTCAAAGGTTAAAAGAAATTTTCTCAAACTTTGTGACACACTCAAGCTGTCAGGTTATCGTGACCTCTTAGTAGCAAAGGTAAATTGTCTCATTGTATACAATCCCTTATGTAAATTCTCCTTAAAATTGTATATGTACATGATATGATTTAAAAAATTTATATAAGATTGCAACCATAAAATACAGAATTAAAGATGCACTTCAAAAATCCATTGGAAAATGTTGTTTTACCATTGAAAAAACCTCTAATTGATCATCTCGATATGGAGATATGTAAATATGAAAAAAAAAGAAAGATTTTGAGTCTTAGAAATAATGCATCTTGCAACACATTATTTAGACCATACATTTTCAAGATTTACATATATTTATCGATCTATTCCATTTTAACCATTTTTGAAGTTCAAAATTTTATAATTAGATATGAAAAGAGATTTTCACATAATCCTAATCATTTTTTACACCAAAATTACATATTATAATAAAATTTGCAAGTGCCTTAATTGGATTGTTTAGAGTTTCAACCTTATAGAAACCACACTGTTATCCATGTAGGTCCGCACATGTATCCCCATTTTGGAATTCATCTTAGAGATGAATTTTGGTTCTGAAATTTTAGGGGTTGAAAATCTCAGTCATGGTGAAAGTCATCTAGATAAGATATGAAAATGTTTTATGCTTGTTGCCTGCCTAATGCAACCCACCACTTTTACTTGGGCTTGGAACGAGTTAAAGGAAAGTTTGAAGTTCTCACTTTTTTTAGACGATAGTGAAAGTGAATATATAAAAAAAAAAAGTTTGAAACTCTAAAAATATGTATTTTTATGACATCTTATAACAGTATTCATTTTTTAAAATTAACGAAAACTACGTGTTTTAAGTGGTGGATCATATACACATAATATATGCCGACGGAAACACAAATGTAGATGTTAGCATAAAAGAGCAGCGAGTGGCGCTTTCCTTATCGAAGATCTGATAAGATACCTCTCCGAAGTGTGACAAAACGGCTTATCAAGTTAATTCCACTCTCGCCCCCTCTCTCTCTCTCTAACTTGTGTGACAGGTTCTCTCTCTCGACGTAATCTGTATTTCCCGGGGCAAGAGTAGCTATACTTGATTCTCCCTGCCCTGCTAAGGGTTTTTTAGCTCGGAACTTGCTTCTTGTGCCCTGCCCTGCTCGTCGTTTTGGGTATATTACTTCTTCTATTCCATTTTACCAAATGTGTATTAAGTGTTTACACCGTCCACAATGTAATGGCATTGGATTGTTGGCAAGCTCCTTATGGTTTCAGATATGGTGCTATTCTGTTATAACTGCATGTTTCTTGCTTCCCTTTTTCATCGGTTCAGCCGATGCTCTCTGTCCCTTCTTTCTCTATCGCAATTGTTCTTATTGGTTTTGCATATGATGAAGGACTGAGTTGTACTAGGAGTAGAATGCTGGGTGTGGCGGTTTTTTTTGTTTTGTTTTATGTTATGTCGTATGAGCTGGAATTGTGCTTCGCTGTTCGTCTCCATTAGATGAGAAGATGTAGATAATCTGTTTGAACATGAGGAGAACATGTAGATAATTACTATACATCCATAAGATTGTTCTTAAGCCGTGAACCCTAGTGGGGTAAAGATACTGCTTGATACAGAGTACCTTATTCGTTGCATAATCAAAACCATCTATTCAAACTTAGAAGCGATGATTTCCCTGTGGTTTGATCTCATCTTTAGGGGGTGAAGTACCTTGCAATACACAAAATGTCTCCCATTGACTGTGTTCACAGTCTACAAGTAGCATTTTTGTGGCCAAAAATGTGGTATGTTCACTACAGCTTTTTAAGGTAGGTGACGCCGCAATGTGCATGTTGCAGGTCTATTTCGCCAGGTTTTCCTTTGCCATGGGGCTCCTAAGTTCGCATTATTCATACATGCTTAGATATAGTTGTGGATACACTAGACCAATAGATATGTAGGCATAAACACATGCCGATGGGCATATAGACATGAGCATACCACATTGATGTAAAAGTGTATTTGACGTTAGCGAAGGAACAGATTCATAAAGGGTTGCAATAGGTTAAACGAAAGCTTAAACATCAGAATTGGGACACAATTGGGTCTTTTGTGAATTCAAATTCAACTCTTGAAAAAATTGGTTCATTTGGAAAGATGAGTGGACATTGTAGTTGGGGAGGGGGACAGGTAGCTGATTCATTCAAATGTAGTCTTCAGGATTTAGAATCATGGATTCTCATTTAGCTTGTAAAAGTTCAGAGATTAGTTTTTAATTTGGATTAGTTCTTCCTCATTCCCAAAGTGTAACCGATTGTAGTGAGACCACTGAACTTTTCGTAGTGACTATCGATTGAACATTCATGGTGGCACGGATCGAACTCAAAAAAAGAATTGATTGGTATTGGGAGAGGCAGGATTCAAACCTACGTAGAAAATCTTCAACAGATTTACAGTCTGTCGTTTTTGACCACTTGGCCACTCTCCCCTTCCCACCTAAACCAGAAGCAATTATAGACGCTATTACTAAACTTTGTAAGAAGGTATCTCAAGAAATCTATAACCTCATTCCCAAAGTGTAATTATTTTTTCTGTAATTTGTCTTGGCACCTTTAAATGTTTATACTTTGTATTTCTTAAACTTTTAGTTCCTTCTTAGGGCACTGTTAAAAGCATATGTTTAAGCTGGATCCTGGGGTTTATCATTAAATTGCAACATTATGAAAGCCTATATTGTCATAGATTTATTTATTCAACTCAGCTACTTGGTTTATTGATTAATCAATTTTGATGCAAGTAATCTGGTAACAATATTAAGAAAAACAACAACCAATCCCTACTTTTATTGATATAATTTGAAGGGAAACTGGTCATGAGAACACTCCAAATACTTATTTAGCCACATTATTTATTGTGGTTTGAAAGTTATGATCACTGTGTAATATGTATGGATATCTCCATTTCAGGTGAGCTCCTATAAATATCATGCATGTAGTAAAGGTTAGATGGGTTGGGCAAACATTTGCTTTAGCTGCATGCGATGCTTCTCATGTAAAGAAGCCACGCAAGCGTCGAACCAGGGAAGAGAGGAAGCTTATGATTGAGTCCTTCATAGAGAAGTATGCATACTCACTCTTCTTATTGTTGTCTGGTTCAGAGCTCAATTCACAAATATATTCTACTGTTAATTGCTAATGCTTACTTCAGATGGATTAAATGCAAAAGAATGTCTTCCTGTGTTTGCTCCTCACTATATTTAAGACTTGACTTGCCTACTCTGTATTACCTCTTTCCAACAATCAATTTCATGTATAAGTTGACAGTAAAAGTTTATGTGGCCTTTTTCTTAGGATGCACCTTACAATTTCAATGATTCAAAATAAATATGTCCAAATAATGCTAGTGATACCTTTGTCCCTGAAATTATTGTTTACAAATTTTTAAAGTATATGCGTCCCTGAAATTGCTGTTTAGCTGCCATTAGTTTATAGTTATACTCACACAATGCATGTCCCCCTTTGTCTTCCCTTCTCATGTTTACTTACTTTCATTTAACTTTTGAGCATGTTGATCTATTCAAACCAAAACTTCCAACTTTTTGGCTTGAGTTTGATTGGATTGTGTTTTGTCGATTACCACTCTGCATCCCAAGTTTGAACCAAACCGTCCCCCACCAGTGAGAAAAAATCATGAAAATCTAGTGTACCATTTTTATAATGATCTGGCATAACATTTTTATAATGCAAATCTGTTTGCATTTGGATTGATACTCTTGTATATGCCTCTAAAATTAGGGTATTCAGTGAACAATTACTATTCTGAGTTTGGAGTGATAAAACTTAAAGTTTTATGTGGTTTGGATATTTGGATTCCCTCTCCATTCTCTGCTGCTGTCTGTTTTGAGGCGTATTTCTCTAGAGGCATACTTAACCATGTATGGCAGCCATTTATACAAATGAAGGGGCATTTATGTTATTCTCCCTTGAGTCAGTTCTTGATATAAAGAGCTAAGGGCTTCAATAGTGATCACTAAAATTTATTTCTTGGATCTGTTTACTTACTCCTCATGGCGTCTAACTTACTTTGGTAACAAATAGATTTCCATGTTTAGTTTGGGACAGAAAATGTAAGATAATGATAACTTCTGTGAATTTTTTTTAGATATTTTGGCTTTGGGGCGAAATATGTGCCCTGTCATGTCTTGTCACATGAGAATCGGTTAGCAGAATTCCTCGATGGATCTTTGAAGTGCTAAACCTCTCTGAGCATATCATATTGGAAGAGCCAAAATCAGAAAGGTTTTCGTTTTTGAGTTTCTTGCCAAAAGACATGTCCAACAAGCCAAGAAGGAGAAATTTTTACCCATCTCTGCAGTCTCACATGAGCCAAAACTAGGCATGAACATGATTACCTTACATAAGTGTCACCCTCCAAGAGGAGAAGATCTTATAAGAAACAAAATTCACTCTTATGAGAAACGAAAATTACTTTTTGGTGGGAGAGCTACTTTTTGGATTTCTGATTTCATTAGGTCTTCCTTAAAATAGGTGAATGCCAGTCCATGTGTGGAACTGTGGCCCTCAAATTTCTGTGTTGAGGATTTCTTCTTTGGAGTGTAGCATTTCATATCAGCTCGGAGTTATGGAAATTTCTAGAGTGCTGCTCCCTTTTGTGGAATATGCAGTAGAAGCTATTTATTTCGTAGTCACCCACCTCCCTTTGATGTAGGATTGTCATGAGGTAGTCTTCCCAAACATAATTACCTCTTTCTTTGTGGTAATGTTTGTGGATTGTTGATATTCATTTACCTTAAGTTCAACACAAGATGGGAATCGACTTGGTAGCGTGGTGAGGACCAGATGACAGAAGGTATGCTATCTGGTTGTGCTCTATGAGCATGCCCTTACTAGAAGGTTATATTTTTTTCACTAATCTTACTAGAAGGTTATAGATATGAAGTTATTGTGTTACATAGATGTACACATAACTAGCTCCAAAGGAGGCTAGTGGGGACACTGATGGATATCTAATATTTATGTTTATTTTTATTTTTGTGGTAATTAGTCTCTTTCAAACTGGAGAGATTAGTGCCCAACGGTTCTATTTGACATCTTAGATTCAAGAAAGGTTCAGAACCTGACTAGGTAAGGAGATGCAGCAATATGTGCATCGTTT